CGAGTTCCTCGCTGGTCTCGAAGTCCTCGCGCTTCGTCAAAAAGCTAAGTGAGCTCACTGCTCCTCGCTCAACCTCCTCTCTCTCCGTATACGTAGACTTCCAGCGTGCGCTCAAATCCCGCCTCGAGGTACTTCAACGTCTGCCTCGAGGTAGTCTTCACAGTCGCCACCATCCAGAGCCGACTCACTACGCGTCACCCGCGTCACCATGCTCGTCCGGCACAACACCTGCCGCCTACTACACCACTCTAGGTTCCGTAAGCTGCAAATTAACATAATAGACGACCGTTTTGAGTCTGATAGAATCTACACACTGAAATAACTATCCACAGTTCTCCAACTCCTTCCATTTTCTCTTCTCTCTGTTTTTCATAGCTCGTTCATCATTATGGAATTTGCATTTAAGTTTATGCTTCGAACGTTGACTACCAGGTATTAGAGACATCACGCCCAGTTGGGCAGATTATCTACTCCCCTAAACACAGACCAGCTGTCCTAAGTTCCCATATCAAGTACATCGTTAAGTCCATAAACTGGTAAATACCAGTGGTATAAACTGCCCAAAACGGTATTTACCATTTGTGGCTGGTAAATACCGGCCATATTGCCAACGCTAACGCTGGGCGAACCAAACAATCCCCTGTCCCTGTGAAATTGTAGTACCTGCTGAAGGCTCCGACTTTTTTATATGTCACCAGTACCAAGATCATGAAATGTTGGATTGACTTGTTGTGGAGATGCAAAGCACAGCTCTCTTCCCAAATCACAGTATATGTGCATAGTGGATAGTGCATGCGCGAATACTGTACCAACGTTCGCTTTATGTCCATTCGATGATATTGAATGGTGGTGTTTATTACATAAAGAATCAATGTTCAGCTCCATACAAAGGCGTAAACAGTTTGTACAAGCGCATAAAACAGAATAGATGACCATCATTTGTCGTGACCAGACAATTCTAGAGCAACAACTATCAGTCTCACTTCTCCTTTTTCCATCAAGACTCAAGATCAAAACACAAGTACCCAATGCGTCTGGCATATCTACTGTTCCTAACGGCGTGTATTGCCATCGCTTCGTGCAATGCTCTATCTGCCTCTGAACTACAAGCTGCTGTCGGGCAAAACGCTCAACGTCTGGGCTCATCTCACTCCGTCGTTGCTGCTAGAGATCGTGGCGCGTCTGGTAAGCGACTCTTACGGTCTGACAACCTCCCGACTGTTACCAACGATGTGGATGCTGAAGAGAGAGCCCTCCCAGGTATTACGAAGTTAAGCGAGTTGGCGAAGAAAGGGAAATCAGCTGTGAGCACCAAACTAAGTGACAAGATGTTGTGGCTCAAGTACCAGAAGCTGGGTAAACAAAAGCTTTCGGACTTAGACATCACCGGAATGTGGCTAAAAAGTGGGAAAGGTCCGGATAAGATTTTC